GGCTCAGACACAGTCTCAGTGTTTAAGTCTAGGCTGAAAACATATTTGTTTAGTCAAGCCTTTAGTGAATAGTTTTTTCTTAGGTACAGGGGCAGGTCTGGAGGGTTCACAGGCATAGAGTGTTGTGGTGAACTGGGATGTTTGGATGCTGTCGCCCCCCCACTCTCACGCGTTCACTCAGGTTTGTCGACGGTGGAGTGGCTGCTGCTTTATGTCCCAGGATGCCCTCATGTCTGTGTTAGCTTCTGGCTCTCCCTTTTAGTTATGCTGTCATAGCTAGTCTCGCCGGAGTCCCTGCTTGCACTCTGCATGCAAAGTACAATGTCCTTAACCATTAGAGGACAAAAGCTTACCTAACAATGTCTCTCCCTCTCTCTCCATCTCTCTCTCTGTGTCGAGCTACACATGCTACGCCTGAGATGCCAGTGATCCTGACCCCTTCTGCTCTCTGGACCTGCCTGATCCATCCTGATGCCCTACTTCTGGTTGGAGTTCTCATCACTTGGAAATCACTCGCTGCTGCTGAGGATGACCTCTAACACGGACAGCTTAAAGTTACATGAGATTTCTGAGGATGGTACCACTTAGGACTGCAATTGCTATGATAGTTTAGGACTGCAATTGCCACAAACTATTTTGCACTCAAGCCTCCATCAGTAGATAACTTCAACAAAATAGACTTCATGTGTAAACCATGATGAATCTCCTGGTTACACAACTGCACTATTTGTCCATGTAGTACACAGTTATAGAAGGGAATGATTTATAATCGCACTATCCGGTGTCACCCAGATGAGGATGGGTCCCTTTTGAGTCTGGTTCCTCTCAACGTTTCTTCCTCATATCGTCTCAGGGAGTTTTTCCTCACCATCCTCACCTCTGGCTCGCTCATTAGGGATAAAGTTACAAATTTATAAGTTTAAAATGTATATCCTGAATTTATATATTTCTGTAAAGCTGCTTTGTGACAAATTCCATTGTTAAAAGTGCTATACAAGTAAAATTGAATTGAATTGAATTGAACACGAGTGATTGGCAGCCGAGACTAGCGAACACGGTGTCGGAGTATGAAGCTCCGCTCCATTTATTTCCATGTCACGCTGTCTTGCTGTGCCCTTTTGTATTTTTTATCCTTTGTGATGCAAAATACATCACTCTGTCTCCACCCGGCCTGCCAACCACGCCGCCACATTAACATCAACATCCACATCCACATCAGGAGACCTGCACACTACCTGCTAGTCGAGCACTGCAGTGAGTGCTGGTGTAGAATTTATGAATGTCATTAATAAATAAGGAGAAGGGTTTGTAGTGAGGGGATTCTGGACGAGAAGGGGCGGGGCTACAGGACAACCAATTACCCACAAGACAGCACACGCTATCTCGTATTAGCAAAAAAAGAAGAATGCTGTGTAATGACTAAAAATCTTATATTAATATAATAATAATTGTGTATATAGACCGAAAGGAAGTTAATAAAAGGATGTTGTGCATGAACAACGTAAACTTTAAATAAAAATAGTCAAGATAGCAAATACATGCTACAATTTAAAAAAGGATTTTCTTGGAGTAAACTAAACTTCTCTGGTTGTTTAGTTTTATACAATCCCTTTTTCCATAAAATTCCGTAAACTCCTCTGTCCTGAAGAAGACGTCAGAAAACCCAAAGTTCCAGCTTTACCTCTGACACTGGAGACTCCTTCCATACGGGTTAAGTAAACATTTTTTCCCAAAATATCTACGATTATTTTAAAAACCTGTTTACACGGAGCGTACAGGTCTCCGTGAATGAGCTGTTACTATAGAAACGTGTTAGAACATTATAATGAGCTATGACTTTAAGAGTTTTATTGATACAGTTTGAAATTATTCACAATCTAGGCATCGTCTTTGATTCATCACTCACCTCTGAATGTTGTAATTAAAAAAAAATACAGAAATAATTTCACCTCTGCAGCCTGCATCTCTGGATTATAGCACATTTTATGAATGCTAGATGATGTGTTTATAACCTCCCACCTCCATTACTGCGATGCTCTTTTACTGCTCTCTGAGTCAGAGCACTCTCTAGACTGCTATATTTACAAAATTCAGTTGCTGGAGTTCTCTCTCTCTCTCTCTCTCACACACACACACACACACACACAAAGGCTATGCCCATGCTCACCCACTCTTTTTAGTATACGCTGCTAACCTCCTAATCTCCTGCTGTACCCCGTACACAATCCTCCTCCTCACCTGCACAGCTTTTCAAACACTGGGTTCTCCAGGTGAACCGTACCTTCAGTACTCCCGCGCCCGGTTGTTAAGGTCATCTGGATCCAGCTTACTCGTGGTATAAAGACACACACTTATCTCCACAGGTGGCGGGTCTTTCAGTGTCACTGCAGTCAAACTTCACTCCCACAGAGACAAATCCCGTCTGTTTCCTCCAGCTCAAGCCTCAACGCTTCTCTCACTGCTCTGTATTTATTTATTTATTTATTTCACCTCTCAACGCGTCCATTAGATTTCGTCACATGTTATACGGTGAATCTGGTCTCGTTAGAAATTTGTACAAGTTATTAGATTCGTTATTTTTATTAAGACATTAATAAAAAAAAAATAAAAAGACTTAACCCTTGACCCAAACCTTATTCTAATCTTGCCATCATATTTGATAAAGTGACATTGAGTTAAAGAAACGGGATCCCTGGAGGACTAGTGATTAGTCCACAGCGCTCTCACTGCCATGGCCCGGGTTCGATTCCCAGCCATGGAACCAACCAGCCACTGGAGCTGTGTGCAACAGTGCGCTCTCAGTGCCGGTCCCAAGCCTGGATTGGGGAGGGTTGCGTCAGGAAGGGCATCCGGCACAAACTGCGCCAAATCAAATACGAGGACCAGTGATCCGCTGTGGCGACCCCTAACGGGAGCAGCCGAAAGGGGAACAACAACAGCCTTGAGTTAAGGAAAAGTGCTGTAGAAAACATTTATGGAAGGAGTCTCCAGTGTCAGAGGTAAAGCAAGAACTTTAAGTTTTCTGACGTCTTCAGGATGTCGCTGCTATAACATAAGCGGGAACTTGTTCCATGGCTTTCCACAGTAAAAAATACATATAATGATATGTTCATTAATAAATAAGTGGTGAAAGAGGAATAAAACACGTTCTGTTATTATAGGAAAATAATCAGCTTCAGTGTGGTAACAGTAACACTCTCTCTCTCTCTCTCTCTCTCTCTCTCTCTCTCTCTCTCTCTCTCTCCAGGTTTAATTAGTGTGTCTAAGACTTTTGCTCAGCATGTTTGTAATGTAGTATGAAAACTATTATCACTGACGTAACCTTTAGAGGAATCGGTGTTGTTCTGCACTCTAAGCTGTGTTCATGCTCACACTGTTGCTGGGCAGCGTCAAAAAACCAGACCTACTGAAATGTGCTGCCAGATCTGACAGGGAGCTAAGGCTGAGCACGGCTTTCTCTGGGCAAATATTAATTTAACGTGTGTGTGTGTGTGTGTGTGTGAGAGAGAGTGCTTCACGGCCGTGTCAGCGGTACATGTGGTGATTGTTGACATAATATTTACATTTTGTTACAGGAATAAGAGCATAATTAACTTATTAATATATGATTAACATTAAAAAATAAGCACATGACAGCAGAACATGTCTAAACTATAATAATAATAATAATAATAATAATAATAATAATGATAATAAAGGCTTAACATTCATATTTGTGTATTTGTACACTGGGACACATTTGGGGAAGGGGGAGGGGTCTGAGAGTAAAATAAGACATAAATAAAATACAAATAAAATCAGTAAAATGCATGCTGTAGGTGCTGCGTACTGGGTTGCTTTTCCTGCTGGTTATTGCAATGTAGACTCAACATTACACACACACACACACACACACACTCACACACACACCCCTCCTCATGCTGTGCGGCTGATCTCAGTCAGAACTGAAGATGTGATGTCCACACACATTATACACCCAGTGTGTAACACCCCCGCTGTGTCGATTCACACTTTAAAAAAATCTAATTCATTTTATTTCTATTCATTTTTTTAATTTTGAGCCCATACTCATCGCTTTGAAGGCCGTGACATTTCCTCAGACACACACACCTGTTGGTGCTGGAGCTCTTTTATTCATGTGTCCTTTTTTGATACTGCTGTTTGAAGCCTGCTCTAGCGCAATGCAGTGTGTGTGTGTGTGTTTCTATGTGCGAGCATCAGAGCACCAAATTTTCATCAATATTGCACACCTCAGGATTTGGCGGCTCTGCTTCTGAACACACACTCACACACACTCACACACACACACACAGTGTGCCATTAAGTGGGTGGATTAAAGGCAGCAATTGGAGAGGCAGTGTGTGTTTATGTTGCCTCCGGCTGATCGAGGGATTAAGATTAAAGGTGCATTATGCTTTTTTTTTCTTTACTCTCTCCAGCTGTCAGGATCTATAGAGAGTTTTACAAAATGATGCTTTTGAGAAGAAAAACGAATAGATAGTTAGAAGATAATGCAGTCCATCATCTCCAGCGGTTCATGATCAAGAGCTAAACACAGACATAACCGAGGCTGAGAGTCAGTAAGCTAATAAACCGTTAGTTAGCATATAAAACTAAGCTAAATATTTACTCTGGAGTTTAGTTGAAGGTTCTGAACCTAGTGAAACTATTTCATCATTTTAATATTCTTTGAATTAAATTTTTTATTATTTATTTATTTTATTTATTTCATTTTGATCTATTTATTTCCCTTTCATGTATATATAATGTCATTTCATTCTATATATCTTTATTATTATTTCCTTTTTTCCATATTTTTACTAGTTGATTGTACAGCAGTTGGAGCTACTAATTATTATTAATAAAATAAGACATTAAAGACCAGGACAAAAAATATTGTGCTGTCATTTTGTCATTTATCCCATGCTGCTGCTGAATCCTGCATTCTGATTGGTCAGAAATTGTTGATTAATTGTTGATTTTCTATAACAGCAGCTCTGACAGTAGTGCAGGTTTATATTAATGCCCTCGTTGTAATACGGTGGACACTGACATCGATATTTTGTAAGATGTTTATTTATTTAATATTTATGGAAGGAGTCTCCAGTGTCAGAGGTAAAGCTGTAACTTTAAGTTTTCTGACATCTTCAGGACAGAGGAGTTTACGCTTCTTTGCGGTTTCTCGGTAACATGCGTAACAAGCTGCAGTAATTTTTTTTGTCTTATTAACTTGAAGAGAGAGAATAAAGAGAGGCTGGTGAGGGAACGAGTGTTTATAGCTGCTATAACGTAAGTGACAACAGGAGCTAACATTAAATGTAACTATAAAAGGATTAAATGTATGACGTGTTATTCCTTAATAAATAAAAGTTGTTAGCGTGGACATGTTGCTGTGGTGTAAAGGGAATAAAACACTGTAAGAACACGCGAGGTGTTTTTGTAGTAAAAATCAGTTTTTTCCTCCGTTTGCTAGGATTCTCTTGTTAGTAACGTGAGCGTGTGTCTGTAAGGCAGAAGGTCAGGCCCTGTATCCTGCTCTGTATAACGAGTAGAGAGGCATTTTGTCCTCCATGATGTTTGAATGTGTGTGTGGGTGTGTGTGTGAGATTCTCTGGATTTTAAACATTACACTTCCTCAGTACACTTTAAAAAAAAGCTAAATAAATAGCGCTCTCTGAGGAGAATGTTGTGTATTTGCTGACTTTGGGTGTCTGATAATATTATTAAAGGCGCTGTGCACACAAACACGGCTCGCTCAGCGAGGAGGAGAGCACCTCCAGAGGTTTCTACACTAATCCTGCTTATTTACTCTCTGTGTAAAAAAAGTGTGTGACACGTCCGCTTCTCATCCCGCGCCCCTGACCTGCGTGTGGAAACAGCCAGTGCTAAAGACACGGAGGCTGAGTGACCTTCCCTTTCTTTCTCCCTCCATATCACATAGACCTGGTGTGCTGGTATAGGAAAATAATCAACCATGCAGTGGCCTGAAGTGATTTATTTATTTTTATTTAATGGCATGTCCTGAAGTCCTTCATTCCTCTCAGCAGTTTGCCAACAATTACCATTTCCTATTTATTAAAGAGTGTCACACTTTTTATCTATTTACAGTTGCAGTTAACTATAAATGAAGTCACTTATGTTATAGCAGCTATAAACAGTCATTCCTTCACCTGCCTCTCTCTTTTTTCTCTCTCTTGATGCTAATAAGACAAAAAAAACCCACAGCTTGTCATTTTTTGTGATCTAGAGAAGGTGCTGAAGTGTACAGTTTGTGATTTCTGATGCTCTTCTGCTTTTTTTGTCAGAACAAACGCTAATACAATTCCCATAGGAAAAGCTGATTCACTGAAGGGGAAAGGACGCAGGAACACAAAAGACGCATTTTCTTCTCATAGCGGTTTATTTGTGTTGACTTTATTCAGATGAACTTTGACCTGTGAGTTCACAGACCTTATGAGCCAATAGAAAAGAAGCTGTGGTCCTGCCAGAACTAGCATTCCGTTGTAACTCGACGCTATCATGTGATCAGTTTGTCTACATCCTGCCAGAATCTGAGAGGGGGGCGGGGACTGAAATGGGTAAACTCTATGCAAAGACAGGTTTTTAGTTTTTATAAAATGAATATTTTTTTGTTTCAGGTTGTTCAGTAATAAAAGAGCTGGGTAGAATATGCTGTGCGTCAACATGAAATATTTTCTTTCAGTATATAAGCTATCATAATTTGTAATATCGTGGCAGTGAGGGCGTGGTCAAGCTAAAAGTCCTCATCAGTAGTGTGATTTAATGAAACTGAAATAAGTACCGTTACCGTGAACCATGCACTCGAGTAACGAGAGAAGTACTCGGTACTTCGGTACTTTCCAGCGCTGATTCAGCCACTACACGTTTAATAAACTGATAGCAATGTTTTGTTTATTTCTGTCTTGTTAGCAGACAGAGAACTACAGTAAGCGAGTAAAGGCCACGGAGGCTGAGGACAGTTTTTCAGCAGAAGCACTGAAGGAGAATATGAACAGACAGTAGTGATCGAGGGGGAGGATGGAGTCTACCGGGAGGTTACAGAGGTCAGAGTAAGCATAGCCCAGGTTAATCTGTTTGATCTGCGTCTAAACTCATTCATTTCCTGAGTAATGATCCGTTTGAGTGACCTGTGAAATCCAGTATCCACCCTCGAGCAGCTCGAGCTCCGACTCGTCTGATAACTGTAATCTCTGCCTCCTGCCTGAGTGCCGTTTTATCTTCAAGGGCGTCTGTGCATGCTGATATGAAACGCTGGCCACATGACTCCTGATTTAAAGACCCAAAGGTGCACACTTACGGAAAAGGCACACGAGCTTCATATGGGAAATGTCACGTTTCCACATTTTTCACCTGCGTGTGTGTGTGTGTGTGTGTTTCTTTTTATTTTTATGTTGTTTTTCACACGATTAGTTTATTTTCACATGATTCTTCACCATGATTCATTTATTTTCACCTGATTCCTCAACATGATTCAATAATTTGCCCTCGATTCTTCAACATGATTCATTTACTTTCACCTGATTCTTCAACATGATTCATTTATTTTCACCTGATTCTTCAACATGATTCATTTATTTTCACATGATTCTTCAATGTGACGCATTTTCACATGATTTTTTTCACTTTTTTTTACATGGTCCATTTATTTTCACAACTGATTCTTTAACATGATTCATTTATTTTCACAAGTGATTCTTTAACATGATTCATTTATTTTCACATGATTTTTCTCATGATTTG